CAACCCCTCAGAGGACCTCAGATGATGCCAACCATGAAACAACATACAGAACTACCAAATTTGGCTATAAGTTTGATTGCAACATATAATAATTACTGTTAATAGTGTTCATCGTCTGTTTTGATTACGTCTTTAATTGATTATGTCTTTAATTGATTTTTCTGTACATTTCTGCCATATGTACAGTAGTCACCACTGATAAGCTACCACTAAACATTGTAGAAACTTAATTTGCTGTAAAGTTGCTTTGCAACGATTTGTATCGTGAAAAGCGCTATACAAATAAAATTGAATTGAATTGAACATGTAACAACAAATAAATGACTAAATAAACATGTAACAACCCTCCGAATGGTTTGTGTAAGTACAAATGTGTAACAGGACATATATAACTACATTTTGTAACAACAATATGTTTAAGAGTAAATGGAACAATTTGATCCAGGGGGTGGAGATGGGTAGGTTTAGGGATATGTAAAGTGGGAGGAGTTGGATCTCAAGTTGGTGGAGTTGGTGCACCACTGTACTTACATGGTAACTCCTCAGGAACTGTCCACTTAATATAAAGTGTAACATTCTGGACACCAACCACAATTTATATGTAAAGCGTAACCTACTGGCCGCTGCTGTGTAACATCAGAGTAATTACATGGTAAATCCATAGGAATTGTTTACGTAATATAAAGTGTAACACTTCCTTTACCAAAAAGTGTTGTTAGTCCTGTTACACATTTGTACTTTCATTACCAAAAAGTGTTGTTACCAATGTCCTGTTACACATTTGTATTTACACATACCATTCAGTAGGTTGTTACATATGTGTAGTTACACAGACATTACAGCTGTAGATACTATGTACCAATATGTACTTACACTGTGGTTAGTTACATATTATGTACACATCTAGTTACTATGTAAGTACACAGGTATTAGGGCCACTTAATATAAAGTGGGACCCAAAGAAGCTTTCAGTTAAAAGTTCGTAAAATAACCTTTCTTTTCTTAGTGTGAAGAACATTTCAATAATCTGAAGAACCTTTTGTGGAATGAAAAGGTTCCATGGTTTTTTAAAGGTTCTTCATGAAACCAATAGAAGCTAATAAAGAACCTTTATTTTGAAGAGTTAATTTGAAGGATTTTCGTAAATTAAAACAATTTTCAACAAAATGAATCAATATTTACTCTGGAGTCTGGAGTTTGGAAAGATTTGAACACTCTTAAAATTAAAGGTTGTTTATTTCCACTGTGGTTTCATAAAGATCCTTTCCATTGGGAAAAAAAACTCTTATTTGCAGTGGAAAAAGGTTCTTTATATGGTTAAAATGTTCTTCACTCTATGAAAACAAAACAAAACAAAAAAACGCACTTTAAAATTCACAACTCAAAAACTTGAGGTCTTTATGGTAAAAAGAATATTGTAGCGATTTAAAGTTGGACTGTACTTTCAACAAACACAATATAACAAGTTCTACCAAATCAAAGCTGATGCTTTTTACTTATGGATCCAAGTTCAATAAGCTAGCATTTTAAGCGAAGCTGAGCATTAACATCACATACAGTAATAGAGATGTAGAACTTTGTAGTTTGTCAAACTCGTTTTTCAGTTTGCTTAGCAAACTAAAAAGGTTATATGGAGATATTTCTAAAACAGAGTTTGTCTGACAAAATGGAAGTTGAATTTTTATAGTGTTGTTCTTTTAAGAATCTAACTGAACAGTTCTTTGGGGAACCAAGAACTTCTTGGTTCCTCCTTTATTTTAAATTAAAATGAATTTGAGTAAATTAAGACTTTAATTTCTGGTCTGAATGGCATTAGGCTGCAAATCCTTTTAGAACCTTTGAGTGTGTAGTTGTTTGTGAGAGTGTGTGAGATTTTCGTTTTGCTTGACCCACCATTGGGCGGAGGCTTGATGTCTGCTTCTCCTTGTTGGTTGGAGTTATCTGATTGTCCAGATTCTGCAAAGCCGACAGAAAGAAAGAGAGAGAGAGAAAGACAGGAGGGGAAAAAAAGAGAGCAGATTAAACATGGGATGGCTGGGCTCAGTCCAAAGGTGCCTGAATCAATTAGCAGATGTAGAACATTCTATATATTCTCTGCCAGCACATATTCAATGTAGCGCTGAGACGACACAGCTGGAAATGAGACATGCAAAATGTGCTCCAGTTCTGGATCATTTACATGATACTCAGGCAAAATTTGGATCTTCATATCTGAAATCTGATGGTCTTGTTATTAGTTGGTATTTGACTTGTTATACATTATCATTCAAAAGGATTTTTTAAAATGTTTTTGAAAGTCGTCTCTTATGCTTACCAAAGCTGCATTTATTTGAAAAACGTAAGTAAAAACAGTAATATTGTGAAATATTATCACAAATTAAATAACTGTTTTCTATTTTAATATATTTTAAAATGTAATTCATTCCTGCAGTGTCATTTGATCCTTCAGAAATTATTATAATATTCTGATTTGCTGCTCAAGAAATTATCATGTTAAAAACATTTATGAAACTGTGATACAGTTTTTCAGGATTCTTTGGTGTATTGAAAGTTCAAAAGAACAGCATTTATTTGAAATATAAATCTTTTGCAACATTATAAATGTCCCTTTTGATCAAATTAATGCATCATTCCTGAATTAAAGTATTAATTTCTTTTTTTTTTTATTTTTACTTTTTTAATGCTATTGTAGATTTGATAACAGATTACCATTACTATTGTTCATACTTTGGGTTGGTTAGTGAACAAACGTGTAGCCTTAAGTATTAAACAAAACAGACTTGAATAACACCTCGAATTACATAGATTTCAGAATCAAATTCTACCTAGGTCGATAAACAACGTTTATATTCGATTATTTACAACAATATCAATATCTACACATAAAACCACAAAACTTTTCGACCATGAAACAAGATCTTTAGTCCGGCAATGTAGACCATAGGTGTGTTAAAAAACACAACTGGACTTGGTCAGTCGGGTCCAATGAAAAAACACAGCTTTGTGGTTTTATGTCACCGTTGTCCATTTTAGGCTTGAAGTTGCACTGCTAATCTAAAATCTATAAATCTGCAAAATATACATCAGAGAGCAGCCTGGTGAAACCCAACTCTGCCGTATAGCTCATAAGATGTAGACAAAGGCTGGTGCGCAGCCATCGAGTTGTTTGGACAATGTCTCCGTAGGCTTTTTATCTTAGAAAGTATAGCGATCTTGGAGCGAGACCAGACCCCTGCGGCTGTTTGAATTGGCCGAGACTCACTAACCCTTTTTTTCTATATGCACTGAGGTTTTGATTAACTATAGACCTTAAGAGGAAAGTCACTTAGTTACTTTGGCCTTTCCGTTCAGTCTGCTGTGAGTATTTATGAATGTTTCACCTCTTTAGCCAATCATACTTAGTGTTTTTTAGCATGTTTGCTAGTTGCTAGGAGGGTTCTGGATATTCGCTTACTAGCCCAAGTCAAAACAGTCCACACTTCTATGATATTCTGGTCTCTAGATTTGCCTCGAAATTTAGCAGTAGTGCTGTTTGGCCTTAGCATGCACCGCTAATTATGTGCAGCAACAGAATGTGGTTTTAAAAACCTACACTACACATTTTGAAGGAAAAAATTAACACGATAGCCCCCCTCTTTCCTTCTTTTCTCTCTCTCGCACCCCCTCGTTCGCTTGCTGCTGCTGTTGTATGGAATCCTGGCAGCCATCTTAACGCTTGGCAGCCATCTTAGCATTGCGGTACTAGAGCATTCCAGCTAGCTTACAAAAGCACCCACACACAGATGCACTCCTCTCAAAGAGAGAAAACCTCTCCACCAACGCGCTATACGCTAAAAGCCTCACAAATGAAGGTTATTTTCAGCTACTTGTGTTAAATTACTAATGTGGAGGGGGGGGGGGGGGGGGG